GGCCTAACGGGCCGCGAAGGGGCCGCTACAGGTCGTAAAGGGGGCCGCGAAGGGGCCGAACTGGCCGCGAAGGGGCCGCGACGGAGGCCTAACGGGCCGCGAAAGGGGCCGCGACGGGCCTAACGGGCCGCGAAGGGGGCCGCGACGGGTCATAAAGGGGGCTGCGAAGGGGCCTAACGGCCCGCGAAGAGGCCGCGACGGGGGCCTAACGGGCCGCGAAAGGGGCCGCGACGGGCCTCACGGGTCGCGAAGGGGGCCTAACGGGCCGCGAAGTGGCCTAACGGGCCGTGAAGGGGCCGCGACGGGGGACTAACGGGCCGCGAAAGGGGCCGCGACGGGCCTAACGGGCCGCGAAGGGGGCCGCTACAGGTCGTAAAGGGGGGGCCGCGAAGGGGCCTAACTGGCCGCGAAGGGGCTTACGAGGGGCCGCTAAGGGCCGTTAAGGGCAGGCGCGACGCGCGCCTCGGGTGGGTAAGAAAATTTTCAGTGTAAACGTGGTGGGCCCTTAGGAAGGATCGATATTGCTCTATACCATGTGAGAATCAAGGAAGGAATGAATGCACTAGAAAGCAATTGAGTACATATAGGAAACCCTAACAGGGTTGTACTCACTATGGAGTACCCCACTGCAGACTAGAGAAACATGATATTCTGACAGAGTTCTCCTCAGCCCTCTTGGCAGCCTTCTGTGCGGAGCACGGCATCCGCCAGACTTTCACGCTTCCGGCCTCTCCGCAGCAGAATGGGGTTGCTGAGCGCCGCATTGGCTTAGTCATGGAGGTCGCTCGTACCTCCATGATCCATCCGGATGCCCCCCATTTTCTGTGGCCGTTTGCGGTCCGGTACGCCGCGCATCAGCTCAACCTTTGGCCTCGTGTCTCCTTGCCGAAGACCTCGCCCACACTGCTGTGGACGGGGAAGGTTGGCGACGCGTCGCGTTTCCGGGTCTGGGGTGCTCGTGCCTTTGTCCGCGATACCACCGCGGACAAGCTCTCCCCTCGCGCCATTCCTTGCGTCTTCCTTGGCTTTGTCCCTGACGCGCCTGGCTGGCAGTTTTACGACCCCGCCTCGCGCCGTGTCTTTGCGTCTCAGGACGTCACCTTTGACGAGTCGGTCCCCTTTTACCGCCTCTTCCCCTACCGCACTGCTCCTCGCCCCCCCCCGCCGCTCTTTCTCGCCCCAGGTCCTCCCCAGGTAGACCCCCTCCCCGCGCCAGGTCCTGCTCCCTCAGGTGTCTCTCAGGTAGACCCCCCTGCGCCTGCGCCTGTTGAGGTCACTAGTCACTCCGGTCCTGCTGCGAGTGGTGCTGTCCCTGGGGGTGCGGAGACTGGTGGTGCTGAGCCTGTGTGTGCGGAGCCTGGGGGTGCTGAGTCTGGGGGTGAGTCGCCCGAGGGTTCTGAGACTGCTGTTACGCGGTCTCCTTGGAGTAGCCGTCTTCGTCCGCGTGTGCCCCTCACCTCCTAGCAGCTGCACGTCTGGTACGGTCGCCGTCAGCGTCCCACTTCTGCACCTCTGGGCTCTCCTGCTGGAGGTTCTTCTGCTGGTGTCGCTGGTCCCGGAGGTGCTCGTACTGGGAGTACTGGAGCTGCTGGGGCTGGTGGTGGTGCTGCTGGAGGTGCTGGAGCTGCTGGAGGTACTGGAGCTTCTGGAGGTGCTGGAGCCGCTGGGGGTGCTGGAGCTGCTGGAGGTGCTGGAGCTGTTGGGGGTGCTGGAGCTACTGGAGGTGCTGGAGCTGCTGGGGGTGCTGGAGCTGCTGGAGGTGCTGGAGCTGCTGGTGGGGCTGGTGCTGCTCGTGCTGGTGGCACTGCTCAGCCGCGCCTGTTCTTTGCTCCGCCGTCTCCGTCGTCTCAGCCACCACCTGACTCTGCACTTCGCCAGGTTCTCAGTCTTCCCTCGTCTACTGGTCTTCCGTTACAGCCTGGCTCCCCACTGCCTGCTCCTTCTCCATACACAGAGCAGCCTGGTGACCTTGCAGAGCGTCGTGAGCCTGTGTCGCGTCCTGTCTCCCCTGTCAGTTCCGGTCGTCGTGTTCCTCGTCAGAGCCAGCCGGCTGTCTCCGGCCATCCCCTTGTAGTTCGTCGTCCTTCCTCTCCTTCACCGCGTGTTCCTCTGCCGCCTCCCCCTGCGTCCTCTCTGCCTGTCGTTGCTGACCTTGCGTCTGACCGGTTTCGTGCTGAGCACTCTACTGTCACGCGTCTGCTTGCCACTGTTGTCACTGACCCGTCGTTTGAGTCTGCTGCTGCGTCTGCCTTAGTCACTGAGCTTGTTGCCTTTGCTGCTCACTGTCGTCTAGACTACGCCGCCAGTCTTGTTGCTGAGTCTGCGTCTGTCTGTCCTCCGTCCGTCGGGGGTGAGTGTGCTCTTGGCACGGACGTCCTTGAGGACAGGCAGGAGGACCTTGAGTGTCTTGCAACCGCTGCGCCTCATCTCGTATCCATGCTGCTTGCCCCTGAGGGAGACCCGGATGCACCAGACATCCCTACCCCGCGCTCTTACGCTGAGGCGATCGCGGGTGAGTACTCCTCTCAGTGGCAGACAGCCATGGATGCAGAGATGGCATCCTGGAAGTCCACAGGCACCTACGTCGACGAGGTTCCCCCTCCTGGGGCGAACATTGTCAGTGGCATGTGGATTTTCAGGGTGAAGCGGCCGCCAGGTTCTCCGCCTGTCTTCAAGGCTCGTTATGTGGCTCGAGGCTTCAGTCAGCGAGAGGGAGTTGACTTCTTCCAGACCTTCTCCCCCACCCCGAAGATGACCACTCTTCGGGTGCTGCTGCACGTTGCCGCTCAGCGTGACTACGAGCTTCACTCTCTTGACTTCAGCATAGCCTTCTTACAGGGCAGCCTGCACGAGGAGATTTGGCTGCGCCGCCCTCCTGGCTTCACTGGGTCGTTCCCTCCTGGTACCCAGTGGAGCCTCCGGCGGCCGGTCTACGGTCTCCGCCAGGCGCCACGTGAGTGGCACGACACACTGAGGACGGCACTTGCGGCTCTTGGGTTTGCTCCGTCGACTGCTGACCCGTCGCTGTTTTTACGCACCGACACTTCGCTGCCGCCGTTCTACGTTCTCGTGTACGTCGACGACTTGGTCTTTGCCACTGCTGACACTGAGGCTCTCGCCCTGGTGAAGTCGGAGCTGCAGAAGAGACACACGTGCACAGACCTGGGTGAACTGCGCAGCTACCTTGGCTTGCAGATCACCCGGGACAGAGCACGCCGCACCATCACACTGACCCAGTCACACATGGTGCAGCAGGTCCTTCAGCGCTTCGGTTTCACCTGGTCCTCAGCACAGGCCACTCCTCTGGCTACAGGTCACTCGCTCTCAGCTCCACCTTCGGACGAGTCCGTAGAGCCGAGTGGTCCTTACCCAGAGTTAGTGAGCTGCCTCATGTACCTGATGACTTGCACTCGTCCTGACCTTGCGTACCCTCTTGGCCTTCTGGCTCGCTACGTGGCTCCTGGTCGGCACCGAAAGGTGCACATGGATGCTGCCAAGAGGGTACTACGCTACTTGTGCAGTACTTCGGGCATGGGGCTCGTGCTTGGAGGACGGGGTGACGTTGTCCTCACTGGTCACTCGGACGCCTCTTGGATTGACGACCAGGCTACGCAGCGGTCGTCACAGGGTTACACCTTCAGCCTTGGCTCTGGTTCAGTTTCCTGGCGTTCTACACGCTCGTCTTCAGTTCTCGGCTCCAGTTGTGAGGCTGAGATCTACGCCACAGCCATGGCTGCACAGGAGTTACGCTGGCTCACCTACCTGCTGACCGACTTGGGAGAGCGGCCTCGTTCTCCTCCAGTGCTGTACGTCGACAACAAGGCCGCCATTGCCTTGTGTCAGGAGCACAGACTGGAGCACAGAATGAAGCACATCGCTCTCCGTTACTTTCTTGCTCGAGAGCTGCAGCAGCGTGGCCAGCTTCGTCTTACCTACGTGGCCACTCGGGCCAACACTGCTGATATATTCACCAAGGCACTTCCGCCTGGTGATCATCAGCGTTTCTGTACTTTGTTAGGCCTTGTGCCCACTCTTCCTCACTTGTTGTAGGCTTTGTTTGTACCATGATTTATATGTATTCCTGCATGCTTGTTCTTGTAGGTAGATTTCACTGTACTGTTGTTGTTACATATATATCTCTGCATGTGAACTGGCCTTGTGGCCTTCTTGCTTGTGCTCAGACTGCGTGGTGACGTTGTGATCCACCCTGAGCTTGCTTTGCACTTCCTGACTGGTCTTGTGACCCTCTGTTCTCCCCCCACTCTGCCTATGGGGGTGTGTCAAACATATGTATATCTATGTTATATTTTGGGTAGGCTTAGTGGGGTATACACTGTAGGGTACAACCCCTTAGGTTCATTTTCCTTGTACCACCATCTCGATAGTCGACATTGATTCATGCCTAGCTTCTAAGACATACGGTAGGTATGATGAATCCACACAGCATAGTTCCCCTTTCTTCGTATGTTTCATGATGCTTCCACAGATGCCAGCATAGCTAATGGCTGGTGGGGGCATGTGTGGTTCACCACCTCCCCACATGCTCGTCCGCCTTAAAGCTTCCATGCTGCTCAGTGCACTTGCACCCCGCTGGACCCGCAAATTCCGTCAAAATGCCCACCCGGACCAGCCAATCCTCATCGTCGCCTCTCTGCCCCCGTGTACCATGATGAACTCACCTGCTGTTGTGCTCCATTGTTTGATACCGATTTATTTGTTACCAACCTGCATGTAATGTACAACAACAGGTTTTTAATTACAAAAGGGCTGCCGTGTTACAGTCACCTGCTGTTGTGCCTCATTGTATCCTACCTGTATATGTGGCTGGTATACCGTAGGCTGCAACCCGATTTGCACGGCCCACCTCGTGTTCCTCTCGCTGCTATTCGCAGTGGCACGCCTCACAATTTCGGCTCCTCACAGCGTGATCCAGATTCTAGTCATCACGCTGTAATAGGCTCCTTGCGTCCGCTCCTCGTCGTACCATTCGAGTTCGCGCCATGATCTACACGACCATTGACTCGTTCTATCTGACCAAGGACCAGATAGATGACTCGCCGTCGCGCAAGGAAGGGGTGGACAAGGAAACGGAGTATGTCCTCCGTGTATACGGCTGCGAGCTTATTCAGGAGTCCGGAATTCTCTTGAAATTGTGAGCTCGCTCGCTCGATGATAGTCTAAGTTGCTTCCCTTCTCGTTCGTTCATCCTTAGCTTGTGCTAGCATTTGATTCGCATGCCTCAGGCTGTAATGGCCACTGGACAAGTCCTCCTACATCGATTGACGTTAATTACGTAGCCAGCTTCCGCTGCTTGTTCGTTCGCCCTGACTTCATCTGCGGCTTGCATTCTTCTGCAGGCCTCAGGCTGTAATGGCCACCGGGCAAGTCCTCTTCCACAGATTTTATTGCAAGAAGTCGCAGACGCGGTTCAATGTCAAGGTGAGAATTCTACCTGCGTCCATAATGCCATTTCGGCTGCCTAGAATGATAACCCTAGCCATTTTGCCACGTCTGTCGTGTACATGATTGGCTAATTCAGATAGCTTATCATGATTCGCGCAGGGTGTTGCTGCGAGCTGCGTGTGGCTCGCGTCGAAGCTTGAGGAGAATCCTCGGCGGATTCGTGACGTGCTGAACGTATTCCACAGGATTAACTTAAGGCGTGACAACCTCCCGTTAGCTCCCCTGGAGCAGTTCTCAAAGGTGCGCTTCTACCTGACAAACCCACTAGCCCGCTTTTCCTACTCATGCCACCAGCCCCCCCACCCCCTCTTCCCCATCCCTCGCTTGCTCGCTCACTCGCCCCCCTCCTTTCTTGCGCCGTCACTTCCCTATCCTCTGTCATTGGAGCTGTATATTCTATACCCTGTTTACTGTTCCTAGACTAATAGAGCAACACTTATCGTACTCCGTTATATCCGTTATCAGAACTACGAGGACTTGCGCACGGAGCTGATTCGAACGGAAAGGCACATTTTGAAGGAGATGGGATTCATCTGCCACGTGGAGCATCCCCACAAGTTCATTTTCAACTACCTCAGACAGCTCGACGTGCTCGATGATGCTGTGAAGCACGAGGCCTGGAACCTTGCCAATGACAGGTGCAGCATCGCTCTTTATACATCGCAATGTTGATTAATGGGCACTCATAGAGTTGTTCCGTTCTGACCAGCTCTTTATGACCATGCAGTTTGCGGACGGTACTGTGTGTGCGGTTCAAGAGCGAGGTTGTGGCATGCGGGGTGATCTACGCAGCAACAAGGCGCGCTCGCATTCCGCTTCCAGAGAACCCGCCCTGGTGGCTGGCCTTCGACGCCTCAAAGGAGGGCATTGACGAGGTGTGCAGGGCGCTGGCAGAGTTGTACAGGAGGCCCAAGGCTCAGTACGTTGAGGTTGCCAAGGGCAAGGATGCCAAACCGTTTGTGCTCACCACGAGAGCATGGGAGCCACCTCCTGATCCCCAGGTAGAAGCCGCCGTGCATTCCGCCCTTCCCTCCTTTGTCCATGTCTGCATGCATCTCGCACGTACTCTCTTCCTCTCTGTTATCACCGTTTCTGACAATTTACTATGTCTGAATTCTCACTTGTGCATGTGCCATTCTTCTCATACACAGGAGCTTCCCGGAGTTTTGAAACATGCTGCACCTGTTTCTGCGCCCACTCCACCACCTGCCGATTCGATGCCAGCGCCAGTTGATGCTGATGCGGCTGCAGCTGCTGCTCCTGCCCCTGCCCCTGCCCCTGCTCCTGCTCCTGATGTTGAAAAACCGGCTACAGCTGTTGTTGAACTCAGGTCCCCTGCCACCACAAAGCCGAGCTCTTCCAATGATCCAGCAGCAGAGGCGGGCAAGAGACAGGATTCGCCACGGAAAGTGGTCAAGCGATCATGTAGCCCTGATAGTGAGCGTGGTGTGCAGGGCCAGCCTGCCAAGAGGAGGAGAGATGTGAGAGACGCAGAAGGTGACGGGGACCCAGAGCGCACAGAAAGGGATGATTCGGAGTCGGACGAAGAGAAGGCGTTGGTGAGAAAGAGAAGGGACAAGGAGCTGGCACTGAAAGAGATGAAGCTGAGGGAACAGCTGAAGCGAGATCTGGAGAAGAAAAAGGGAGGGCAGCGGACAGGGCTTGGGAAGGCGGGCATGGACGGTAAGGAGAAAGAGCGGCAGCAGGATTTGGAGGGTGGGAGGGAGAAAGAGAGGGACAGGGAGCGGGATCGGGAGTGGGCTCGGGAGCGTGAGAGGGAGCGGGAGCGGAGGGAGCGGGAGCGTGCCAATCGGGATGTTGAGCGTGAGAGGGACAGGAAGGATGGGAACAGAGACAAGAGGGATACAGAGAGGGAAGACCGAGGTGGGGATGGGGACCGCAAGGATCGGGAGTGGAGAGATAGGGACCGGGATGGCGACAGAGATAGGGATGGTGACCGTGAGGTAGAGCGCGATCGGTCGTTTCGAGATGAAGGCCGGCGTAACCGTGAACCTTACGGTAAGTAAAGATGAAAGCATTGGTTGCTTTGTGAAACTTGAGCTGGTTTTGAGCATGTTCTGCGGATATTTGCGCTTTTTACTTTTGGCTAAAATGTCACGAGTTGCAACCTCTCTGCAGGTGGTCGCGGTGGTGGCCGTGGTCGGCAACCTGCTCCACGAGGTAAGCTTTATTGTCCGGTGTGATCTCCATCTTGTTTGTACTTCCAGATGCACACTAATTTTACTTGGTTTATGGATTGCAGAGAGGGAGTTCGCTACATCGAAGGACAAGCACCGGAGGCGGTAATTGGTGATTGCCAAAAAAAATGTTCTGTTGGGCCATCGTTGTGCCCTGCTCGTCTTGCCAAGCTTCTGGTCTGTGCGGTGTGCTGGATTATTTCCAACCGAATCCAGACCAGGGCAATCAGCCAGATGAGTCTTTGATTGTCTGGGAACTTTTTTCTCGACTTAAAGAATCTCTGCACCGATAAAACTTACCTGTTCTATCGGTTATCTGGGGCCTCCATCAGTGCTTTACTTTGCTTCAGCACCGCAAGCAAGCAAGCAACCCATCAGTTCACAAAGCTACAAACCATGTGCAATGTCCTCCCGCCACTGATCCAAACCAACATCATCAACATACATCTCTTGGACTGTTTCTGTGTGTGAACGTGGGAAGGTTGTCTGGCTAGGTTGTCTCCAGGGCATACCGTACGTGGCACGAGAGTATGATATCTCTAGGTTGTTTCCATTATATGATGGCTTCTCATGCCTAGGCTCACAAGGTAATATACGGTAGTATTGCTCGTTCTTGCAACCCTCATACAATCGCTAAAATGATACCGGTAACTGTTGGAAATATTTAGTTAACGCTTCAGAAGTATCGAGCTCTACAACAAAAGAGAAGCACACTCACAGCAAAGCAACACCGAGTCAACCACAGCGGTTGACAAGGAGACAACAGCAGGAGGTTGAAGCGAAGGTCAAAGGTCAGCGACCTTTGACTTAACAAAGGCACCGCGACAGCAAGGACAAATATATGACTCGCTATTGAGCAGTTACCCGAGTCGTCGCTGTATCGAACCGCAACAACAGTTACAGATAAACCCTTCGTATTCCTTGTAATCATATAAAACTTTGTATCTCTTTGCTATAATCAATTCATCTTGTTCTCACATACTAGTACAAGGTGGTTAAATTAATCCAATATTACGCTTCCGCTAAATACTGTCAAAATGTTATAATGCTTAGTGAGCCCATAAGGGGTAAAACCCAATTAGGTTTAGTACTTGTACCAACTTTCTGTTCAATGCATTCATTCTTGTTCAGTATTCTGACATGGTTTCAGAGCAGGTCCTGTTCCAGGACCGTTTTTTTTAGGGCCCACCACATTGCGCTGCCCCACTAGTCGCGTCGCCCTACCCTGCCTGTCGCGTCGCCCTGCCCTGCCTGTCGCATCGCCCTGCTGGCTGTCGCGTCGCCCTGCCCTGCCCGCGCGTCGCATTGCTGGCAGCCGCGCCGCCCTGCCCTGCCTGCGCGTCGCCCTGCTGCCCGCACCGCCCTGCTGCGCACCGCCCTGTTGCTCGCGCCGCCCGGCTACTGCCCGCCCTGCTGCGCGCAGCCCTGCTGGCCGGCGCCCATGCTGCCCGCGCGCCGCCTGTCAAAACATATATTTTTATGTTTACATTTCTCTAGGCTACATTGGGGCTATCTTTAGGGGGTATAGAAACCATCTCGACACTTTCCTTGTACACCCTCCCTTGACCTAATCGACACTTCTTCCTTAGTATTCCAACATGGTATTAAGAGCTAGGACGTTCCTAGCCTAGGACCGAATTTTTTAAGGGCCCACCGTTAGTTCCTTCCTGCCCGTCGTGCGCCCCTAGGGCGCGATCGTTTTTTTTCCTTTCTTTTCCTGCCCGTTGCATGCCCCTTGCCCATCCCTGCTCGTCCGCGCTGCTGCTGCTGTCACTTCTGCAGCTTCTACTGCTGCATGCGCTGCTGCTGCTGCTAAGCGTGCTGCAACCACTGCTGCATGCTCTGCTACTGCTGCTAAGCGCACTACTGCCCAGAGCTGCTGCTGCTGTGCGCTGCTACTGCTGTCACCTGCGCGGCCCCTCCTGCTGCATGCACTGCTGATGCTGCTAAGCGCTGCTGCTGCTGCTAAGCGTGCTGCTGCCACTGATGCAAGCGCTGCTGCTGCTACCACTGCTGCATGCTCAGCTGCTGCTGCCACTGCTGCATGCTCTGCTTCTGCTGCTAAGTGATGCTACTGTTGCTAAGCGCACTGCTGCCCAGAACTGCTGCTGCTGTGCGCTGCTGCTGCTGTCACCTGCGCGGCCCCTCCTGCTGCACGCGCTGCTGCTGCTACTGCTGCTGCAAGTGGTCCTGCTGCTGCGCCTGAGCTACTGCCGCTGCCCACGCTGCCTGCACGCACCCAGCCCGCGCGCTGCTGCTGCTGTGCGCCTTCTCCTACGTGTTGCTGTGTTAAGAATAGCAGTTGGAAGTTAGAAATGAGAAAGAGGGGTTTCACTAGCAAGCAGTTGAGTACATATAGCAAACCCTAAATTGGGCTGTACTCACTATTGAGTACCCCACTGCAGGTTAGACAAAACATAACATTCTGACACACCCCTATAGCCAAATTGGGGTGTAATCAGCACAACAAGCAAAGCAAAACAAGGTCAGGGTGGATCACAAAGTCACCACACATTCTGAGCACAAGTACAAGCAGTAGCAGTTTATAGTTCACAAATATAAGCAAAGCTAGAGGCAGTCACAGATGGTAAGTGAGGAGGAGGAGGGACTGTGAGAGGAGAAGAGATAGGAGACGACAGGTGAAGCTGCAGACACACTGGCAACAGGAGCGGCGCGCACTGTGGCTACCGGAGATTGTAGCCTCCGGACTACTGGAGTAACTGGCTCCGCGACTAACTCTGAGCTGCAGGAGCAACGGACCCACGGGCGACTGGCGCAGCAGGCTCGCTGGGCTACCGGAGATTGTAGCCTCCGGACTACTGGCGCTGCTGGCGACACGACAGCTGCCTCCGCCCAACATCCTCTAACTGTCTCACCCCCCTTTCACACACCCCCTGCTCCACCCCTAGGTTCACTCACACTCCACCCCCTAGCACCACTCCGTCCACTTCCACACACCCACCCCCCTCAGCGACAGCTGCAGCAGTGGGAGACGAAGTAGGAGGAGGAGCAGGTGATGCCACACACCCGCCACCCCCCACCCGCCACCCCCAAACCCTAACACAGGGCAGGGCCGGATATGGCGGGTAGGGAGGGTACGGGGGGGGGGGGGGGGGGGCAGGGCCGCGACGAAGACAGGAGGGGGCCGACGCGGGGCCCCCTTTAGTCGCGCCCCCCCCCAAGGCGTCGCGACGGGCGACGGGAATTGGGGCCACGCGGGCCCCAATTGGCGCCGCGACGGGGTCGCAATGGGCGACGGGGCAGGGCCGGGGTAGGGCCGGAGCAGGGCCAGGACAGGGTCGGGGCGAGGCCGCGACAGGTCCGGGACAGAGCCGCGACAAGGTCGGGGCTAGGCCGGGGCAGGGCCGGGGCAGGGCAGGGGCCGGGGCCGCGACAAGCGACGGGGGAGGGCCAGGGCGGGGCCGCGACGGGGTCGAGTAAGGCATCGCGCGGCCCCCAGGGCAGCGCGACGGTCAGAAAACCGCCGCGCGACTCGAGCGCGCGGCGGGAAGAAAAAGGGCCGCGCGCCATGGGCGCGCGGCAGACAGAACGACAGTGCGCGCCCGAGGCGCGCGATAGGCAGTATAGCAGCGGAAGACAATGGTGGGCCCATGTACAGGATCGACCCAAGAGGGTCGACCTGCTCTGATTCCATGTTAAGAATAGCAGTTGGAAGTTAGAAATGAGAAAGAGGGGTTTCACTAGCAAGCAGTTGAGTACATATAGCAAACCCTAAATTGGGCTGTACTCACTATTGAGTACCCCACTGCAGGCTAGACAAAACATAACATTCTGACATGCTG